CCAGCTAAGTCTGTTAGACTGTTTGCATGCGGACAATATTCAGATCTGACCATCGTTTGTGGTGCCAAAAGATACCCAGTACACCGTATCCTCCTCGCAACAAGATCCACCTTCTTCGAGGGAGCCTGCCGCAATGGCTTCAGGGAAGCAGAAACCGGAGTGGTTGACCTCAGCGAAGATGACGCAGAAGCTGTTGAACACATGGTGCACTGTACGTATTGCATGAGGCGATGGGACCCTAGACTGTGCTAAAGCTTTCTAGACTTCTACCACATGGACTACCTCACCAAGAAGTCACTCTCGCGCCGATCCTCACAACGATCGAACCGACCTACCTCTCTACGATCATCGATTACCAAGAGGAAAAGCCCCCCAAAGAAGCTGAACCTGGTCCAAGTCGAAGACCCGCTCCTTGCACTTATGGCAGCAACCAACAACTCAATGCCGCTGACTCCTCCCGCCGACGAGCCAATGTTTCAAAGCATCAATGCATCCTCCAAGCTGCCCGACACGCCGATGGCCGATCAGTTCTTCGAGGATGATGATCTGGAAAGCGAGCAATCAGAGACTGAGTTCGACATTGAGACGACACATCTCATCACACATGCCAAGGTCTACGCCATCGCTGAGAAGTAAGTACTACCATTCTCTCGTCATTGTTTACTTTTCTATGTTTTGCCTGAATGCGCGCCGCGATTTGCGGGGTTGCTTCATCTGCGCCTGCAGCTCTACCTCCCATGACTGGGGTGTGCAGCGCGTGGCACGGCGGTTGAAACGCCGACAAACTCCGCCATATGCGTCACCGGCACTCTACCTCGCCAATCGCACCCCGCGCTGCACACCCCACTGTACCTTTGCATACACAGCCCTTTCGTCTGTTTTTCTTGTGTACGATTTCAAGATGCGCCAATTACCTACTATGGTCCTTGGGCCTTCATGGCTGCATCTTCGAAACAGTCCGCGTCAGCGTGCTACTACTATCTCTCCAATCATGCACCCATCTTTCATCACACCTACTTTGGAACTTTCTTGCTAACGGTTTATGGCAGGTACGGCATTGCAGGCTTGAAAGCGCTTGCGCGTAGCAAATTTGCAGAGGAGGTTGACCTGCACCTTAGCAGTGCCGACTTCCCAGAGGCCTGTCAAGAGGCGTACGAGTCTACTTACCACACTGACCGTGGTCTGCGAGACGTCATCATCCAGACCTTCCGTGCCAACCCCAGCCTGTCGCTGCGACCCGATGTCGAGATGGCCGTGCGAGAAACACCAGGTCTTGCTTTCGAACTCTTCCGTATGGCAAGCGGACTTCCAGTCTCTTCCTGAAGGGAATTCCGTCACAGTCGTTCCCGCATCGAGCCAATCATCGCTGCCCCGCAGTGTGCACCAGTATCTGCATCGCCGCTGCAAGCATACGACTCAACTCTATGTTGAATCTCGTCATCTATCTGTGTAGAATCCTACGCGCGTCCTAGACCGGGATTATCCTGCGGGTGGTACGCAGCCGCCACACAAAACGTCTGTCTTGGCTAAGACAACGTGTTTCACGACAGTGCTGCAGTCAACCGTCGACGTGATGCGGGGTCAGCATGTCTTATCAACCTTATCGAGCCGCGCATCCGCGCAGTTCAACGTCACACCCGATGTGCTTGAGCCAATGGCCTACTGACTCTGCTCATTGGCAGTTTGTTTCTTTCTTTCTCGAGAACTTTTGTAGTACTTTTAGCGATACCAATGAGCGATTTTGCGTTCTTCTCTTCATAGTTTCATCGTCATGAATATATCTACTATAACAATTACACTACCCACCCAACTCCGAGCTTAAGATCAGTCATATCACTGTGCATCAATACCCAATATCTAGGCGCCAATGCTCCCAAAGGGCACAAAGTTACGTCATCTCGTCTTATGAGTTTTGCCATGTCGATAGCGTTTGCTACAATACTATTTCCATCTACACGGAGTTCCAAGGTTGCCAACCGCCGCGCACGTGCTTTACATCATAATGATAGAATTGCCAAAGGATAGCCTTTACTACGGCCCGCAACGTGGTCTACATAAGAGCCGAAGATCGCGCATTAGCCACCCCGGCCCTACACGTGGGGTTTTGCTCACTCTTCCTTGCCCTGGATGTATACAAGCCATACCAAGAGATCTACAAAACGTTTTCGGTCCGTTCCTCCTCCGATCTTGCCTGCTGCCTGCACCTGCAGAGGGTGGGGACGATCTAAACTGCTTACTGATCTGTGCCATGTGGCTTTGAAATCAGACGCGCGATAGAGTTTTATAGTGTTCGTGCGAGCTGTTTGTCCGGATCATGGTGGTGAGAAGACGGGGTTCAGTGCATGAATTTGGTCGGTTTTACGAGAACTTTGATGGTGGGCATGGGTGTCTTGTTTGCGCGTTGGAATTCAGGTCTTTCTCGAATGTTCTGTTTATACGTCACGAATGCTTGTTTTCTGGAAGGTCTTGCGGTGAGATCTCAACATGTCAGCTATGACACGTGGATATCGCATTTTACTAACATAAAGGACCGTAGAATAGTTAATGGCATGGGTGAGTTCATTGTGTCTTGTTTCTGCTGACTTATGTACACGCTTGTCGATGATAGTGATACAGGGAAGGATGCGCTACTACAACTATCATCGCCGTTAGGTAACCGTCGCTAGGAGTGACGCTGGTCATCCTGGAAATCGAAGTGACACTGGACAGGTGGGGCGACAGATTCCATGGCATGAGGGCATTTCAGTGATGACGAGCGCAGTAAGGAGGCGCACTGCTTTCAAGGAACAGGAGAGCATGAAAGCGATGGTATCTGTGCCTAGATAACGCAGGGATATGGAGAGAGCGGGAAATGGCAGTCGGCGTGAGCATCGTAGGGGTTGCATTGATCGGATATCATCATATCCCATCATCGTTGCCCTTCTCTGCCATTCAACGTAATGTCGTAGAGTGACGATGTATCCAGTCGGTAAGCCTCGACTGTGAGACCACGTGTGTATCGAGAGTGGCATGCGACGATGGCCGTGTTGGCAGCGAGGTGTGGTTTGCGGTATCGGAGTCGATGCGCCGTTTGTACAATCACACTCATCGCTCATCCCACCCTTCATCTTTGACCTTTTCCATATCCAACGCTGCGAACTCCCCAGCCACACGACACCATCTCCATCTTTTGCGAGAATATTGCCTGCTCAATCAACCTCAGCCATGAACGACCACCTTGAATCGCCTCCGATCGGTATGAATGCTCCAAAGGGGACTCGATGCTAGGTAACGAAGCTGTGCGCAGATGAACCCGCCGCCGTTGTTCCGTTCCCGCTAAAGAGGCTCTCCGATGAGCTCCTCCTCCATGTCGTTGCCCAAGTTCCAGAAGTCGATCTCCATACACTCTGCTTGGCGGCCAAACACATCGGCTCCATGGCACAGGAAGCACTCCACCGATACCCCACAATCTCTTACAGCGCCGATGCCATGCCGCGGCGCATGGCCCGACTGACCCGCACCCTCTTCAGCCGTGCCGACTTAGCTCGCGCAGTAGCCCAACTCACGCTGCGACCCATCCTCCATATTGTCGAAATTCCGTTTACCACATTGTCCGCGGCTGGCAATCCAGTACTCCAGGGCTTCTTCCAGCACACACGCGTGTATATGGGCGAGACACAGATTGCGGCACTCCTCCTTGCTTCTCTCCCGAACTTGAAAGAGCTCGATCTGCAAATCATCTCCAACGGTAGCCTGCATGAGCTCGACAGCGGTCGTTATGGCCATGCATGTAGCGTACAGTGCAGGCTTCCAGTCAAGGCTGGGTCACACCCCCTCGATATCGCCATGAACCCAGGATTGAAGGCGCTCCGGAAGCTGCATCTGCATGCTCGTCATATCAGCTGGGATTGGCTGGCGTTGTCTTGCCTGAGGGCTGTCACCCTTGGCCTTCACTGTAGCGTCGATTGGGATACTGCATCAGCAGGTGTCTCCAGGGTCGAAGAACTGGTGCTGAATCTGACCACCGAGGTCTTTCTTAACGACGACCGGAGATACAAAGATCTACCCAAACTCTTTCAGCGAATGCCCTGCCTGCGATCGCTCACCATCAACATAAGCAACAAGTGCTTAGCTCCAGGGCCAAATCAGATCGAGGCTGATATTCTTGGGAATGATGCGCGGGGAAGCATGGAAATCCTCATCGAAACTATGGCTGCAGTATCGCAGACACTAGAAGTGCTGTGCATCAAGAAAACCGGCACAGATCCGGAGTGCTTCAAGTACCTGGAGCCGGTAACAAGCCTGGCCCACTTCAACCAAATGAAGCACCTTCAAATACCCATTGAAGGAGTTTTGGAGTGTGGCCTGGTGTCGAGGAAGAGAATTGGGGAGATACTGCCAGACAGGCTTGAACAGTTGCGCCTCTCAGGCCTATCTGTAGAAGCCATGAAGAGGTTGGAAGATGTGTCCTCGGAAGATGCTAGTCTGGCGTTCCCGGCCTTGTCGGGATGATAGAAAAGGGACCGACCGGCGATAGATACATAGAAGACATGAAGACTAATAGATCAGTACACCAGATGGCCGGGAGGTTGTCAGAGTCGAGATGTTGATTATGCGCATCCGTGATAATGGGCAGGGGTCATCCAGGCTCCGGTTTTGTCGACGGCGTCATCGTGCGGAAGGGTCGTGAATGCCTCTTGGGTAGGCTGAGAGTTTCTGTCGGGAACGCAGAAAAGATTCGCTATCTAACCGGCGGGGAAGAGTATGATATAAGACGGTGTTGGTCTTGGGGACCCGACGACGCCCTAGCGCTAGCGTGGTTCGCGCTGACACCTGCATGCATTAATTCTCCGGACCCGAACAGCTTCACGTTGCGTCATTAGTAATGCAGTATTTCGCTCCCTGCGCAGCACTGCTGCATGTGGTAAAGTCTGGAGAGCACATCTATCGCTTATCTGTTCAAGAAGGGGCTGCTGGCGAGCCACATTCGTGCCCATGCGTCGCGTCGGCGTAATCTCACGATGGACGCGTCCAACGCGTCGCTCCTCCCTCGAGAACCTCGAATTCAAGCTCACCGATGTGTAAAATGCCTTTCAGTTGTCCGCCTCACATCCTCAGGTAAGTTCTCCGCACCACACTTACGCGCCCACGGCAGCATCCGTATCCGCCTCTGACATAGTTTAGGGCTTACAAGAATGGTGACTTCACCGACTTAGTTATCAGCTGCGGCAACTCGACATTCGATGTGCATTCCGTTGTGGTTGGGTCAGCATGCGAGTTCTTCGCGAATAATATCAAATTCGCTGGAAAGGTCAATCCGCAGCGTTTCGCGCCAACCTCCCGTATTGACATTGGACAGGAAGCTGATGAACGACGTATCGATCTGCCGGACGATGATCCAGACATGATCCGACGCTTAATCGCTTACCTGTATCTGGGTGACTACGATCCCACCGACGACATTGGCATCGCCGCGTTCGAACAACTCAAGCAATATGACCTCAACACAGCAGCGGCGCCCGCTCACCACCTCCGCAGAGATGTATGGGGAAGCTCTCAGCCTCATGATCAATGCGCTTGCCTCGCGTTGAACCTCAAGAATATCGAGCAGGCGGAATTGAAAGTAGAGCAGCAGAAGAAAGCGTCCCAATACGTCAGCCACCGAAAGCCCGACAACAGCATCGAAATCACTAGTCCGCTTACAATACACGCGAGCATGTATGCGCTCGCTGATAAATATCAGGTGAAGGGGCTTAGTCGTCTGGCAAAAACCAAGTTTCGGGATAGTCTGGATCACCACGTTGATTCCGAAGACTTCATCGCCGCAGTACAGCTCACGTATAGCAACACCCCAGAGACCAACCGCGGTCTTCGAGACGAGATAGTGCAGGCTTTCCGGACATATTTCAAGGTAGACATCACCGAGTTACCTGGGCTGGAATCCAAGCTAGACACCATTGATGAGCTGGCTTTTCTGCTTCTCAAATCCTGGCCCAGAAAGATGGAATCTGCAAGCCCTAAGAAGTTTGTCTCATCTGCGGGTGCCGCTCACACGGCTTCTCATCTGGTTATTACCGCTGGCCCGCCCACCTCCGGTACCAACGCGACTTCCGCTTCTTCCAACGCTCCTGCGACGACCACTGGGTTTGCCTCTTATGCTCGTACATCGGCGGCCACTACCTCTAGTACTCCAGCCACCGGAAGCTTGTTCGGAAGCTTCCCCCCACGTGCTTCGGGTGGATTCGCAGGCTTCTCGTTAACACCCAGTAGTACTGGCAACGCGGGATCAAGTCAACCAGCTCTTCCTTTCGGGTCTCCAGCGTAACAGATTTTCCTGCTGTATACTCAGTTGAGTCTTCTCGCCATGCCTTACAATATTGCATACGGCCTTTTTATTTAGCTTCTGGTCTTCATTCAGTGTCGTTCCTTCGCGACTTCCTCTTTGTCGTTCGCACACGCGCGATATCCCAACCTCCTACTATTCATGGCAATCACTCCACCGCCACCGACCTTACTGAGCCAATACCTTCCACATACGTTTTTAGATCACCGAGCGCACTTTCTCGCTGTATGCGACGGTTGCGCGAAGCTAAGAGCTCTATCCTTGTCATGTCTTTCTCTTGTACTTCTTCCCATCATCGACACGCACAAAAACCCGGAGAACTGCAATTGGCACTGCTGCATCCATCGATTTTGGTCTCTTTTTGGAATCACACATTATATACACGCATCTCTTGCATCGATTTTACCATATCGAACGTAACCAGAATGTCGAATGGGAACACAGACACCGATGTCGCCTTGCCGCATGCCTCATTGCTCGTATACTTCCGTGGCTCTGCAGCTGTTAAAGAAGCGACAGATACCGGTGTTCTTTCCAGTGACAACAGCCATGGTACCAACGCGCATCAACTGCTCCATCCGCCGACCGATGACGATGACGACGACGAAGAGTCGAGACTAGGCTTCTGGGGCGAAGTGGATGGACCTACCAGCTCGTCTGGATCATACTCATTCGGCGAAAGCAGATCAGCTTGGCGAGGAGCAGCCGCCTTCTGCTGTCTTTGGTGTGCATTCTCGGTCATTATCCTCGGCGCCTTTGGCCTCTATTTCACTGTCGACCTTGCCTTCAGCCACTATGGACTGGGTACTGGGATGGCGGAGTGGGTTATGTACAGACAACAGCTCCCACCGAGCAACATCCGTGGGGTAAGTCAATCACAAGACGACAGTGGCACGTCAACCTATGAAAAAACTGAACAGGTCTGCAGCCTACGTCAACGTTAGGTCACCTACTTTGTATGTTTCCATGTTGATGTAGGCTGCAGGCCTGTTCAGTTTTTCTCTTGTATGAGGTGGTGGTGTCCATGGGTAGCATGCTAACACTTGTCCTGCATTAGATAAGGTTCTGCCTTGAGACTCCGAACCGCGAGGCACCTGGTCCGCAGGCCTGGCACTACCTGAAAGTAGGCACCGGCGATCGTTGCACGACCGATACCATCGACTTCCTTCTCAACTCAAAGGAAGCATGGAAGATTCAGCCAGATGCAATCCTGCTCCTGAGGGACGATGCGTCATACCTGGATCAGCATGAACAGATTCGGGCACCCGTTATCTCCCGAGAAGAACTACAAGCTCCTAAGCTGGATGACGATGTTGCAGAAGAGGGCCACTTGGGCCGAACAGTTTGAGAGGTCACATATGGAAGCTATCACAAGCACTTGGTGAATAGCACTGGCATTCATTTTCTAGTATACTCCATTCGCCACATTGGCTATTTGGCATCTTGTAATAAATCCTTGTCCATTCCCCCCGCCTAACAGTTCCCATTGATGATAGTAACATCGCCGCTGCGAGAACGCACACTAATAGTGAAGTCCTCAAACGGTCGAGTCATGATCTACTTGTTTGGATTGAGTGACGCAGAGGTCTTCAGATTCGCGATCCGTGTCTTTTGATACCATTCCTTTGCGTGTGAGGTGAATGAAATGCGGAAAGTGTGGCTAGCTTGCCGTTTCTGGGTTGCCTCTGAGTCATTGATGAATGACACAAGTGGTGGAAAGACTTCTTCGTCATCGAAAGGTGGTACTACCGCCTCATCAGCGCGTGCCCATATCCGATAAGCTAGCGGGTCTTCCTCTTCGGGTACTGTGTCGCATATGGCGCGCTCGGCAGGAGGACTTTGCAGGATCACTTCGTAGTGCATCTCGCGACCCACGATCCAATCGTTGTACTTTTCGTACATCGTGACGCGCTGGTCATCTTGGTCGTCAAATATCAGATACACAGCTTTCAGATCCTCGAAGAAGTGGTGAGCTTTGTTGAGCGCGTCGAGCCAAGCAAAGGCCTTGACGCTTGGGTGAAGAAGCTCAAGCACCTGGATACTAGCAGGAAGAAGCTTGCAAGGATTCGGGAAACCATCGCCAAGAAGAAGTTGCTGTGTTATAGTGAGGGTTTCCAGCTTCTTGAAGAAAGCGAAGGTAGGGACCGGCCCCATCCACTTCAAGAACTCTTGGTCGAAGCTATCGTACGCATCCACTGAGAGGGTTTTGAGGCTAGGCGCAACCCGAGAAAGGCAATAAATCATCCTATTACTCTTTGCACGCCTGGAGTCTTTAAGGATAGGCTTGACAATGGAGAAGCCGCCAGACGAGTGGAAGTTGGTGAGCTGGATGGAGAGATGTTCCAACCGTGGGAACGCTGTGGCCGAAAGAAAACCGGCATGGAGCGCCCCGTTGTGATCAACTTCCTTTGCTACACAGCTAGCGAGCTCAAGTTGAAGAGTATCAACAGCAGGAGCGACGAATGAAGACGGGACCCTGCATTCTCGAGCGACCTCTAAGCACTGCAGCTTCGGCAGAGTACACCAAGTCTTGTCAAGACGGCTGCCGAAGAACCGCAAAGTTTCGAGTTTCTTGAGGCCACAGATCTGGGATAAATCCAAAGCTGGTCTGTTGACAAGGTTCCTAAGTCTTGCGTTGATGATACCTTTCATTCGAGAGGACATGATCGGATCGTTGCGTTTGGGTTTTAGAAATTCCAAGAGATAGTACCCAGGCTTTCCAAAGAGTTTGTCGAGAGGATCCTCTGCGTAACGCTGCTGGGACCATACAATGCGTTCGTTATACTCCACATCGTCGTCCGCTACACGAAAGTCAGGCATAGTGGCAAGGATCTCTATCTCCAGCTCGACCAGATTTGGAAGTAAAGCGAGAATAAGACCACCACAAGCTTTGCCGTCGCCAGAAAGTAAGCGCGCTTTCCAGTCTGGCACACGGATGGCCCAACCAGTGCCTTTGGTACCCATGTCGTCGATCACGCGTAGTGCTTTGGCGATGTCGTCAGATGACCATTTGGGAGGCGACGTTGGCTGCCCTCTTATAAGACTCATTGAGAGCTTGCGAACGCTAGATGCTAGTTCAGGTCGGTGAAGAAGCGCAAGCGCGAAGGAGAAGACCTGTTCGACCGCGCAGTGGTAGCTTCCCGAGTAACGCTCATTAAGGGTAAGGTTGGTGTAGAGCTTTTCGTTCACAATACGTCGCAGCTGGTGCGACGCGAGGGAAATATGGGCGAGGTCGCTTTGTTTTGTCATATATCCTGTGATACCATCGAGCAGCTCCTCTGGTAGAGCAGACAATGCTTCCATGCTCGTCGGAGGAGACACATCTGCGTCCAGAGGTGAAGTAAGCTTTGCTTGGGTTCCGTGGTGCTGCATCTTGGTTGGGTTGGAATTTGGATCCAGTAGAGTGAGCGCAATGGATGAGAGGTATTGGGGAATGAGCAATGAGCCCGCGAATTTATATGAGTAAGGAATGTCCACGCAGACGTTCACTTCGTGGCCCTAGTCAATTCACCCATCTGCGAACGCCCAGGCTTCTATCGCTTTCATTATTGTCGCCACTATCTCAAGACCCTCTTTGCATCATAGCGTAGGCTACCACTAGCCTGCGCGTTGTGCAGCAGCTTCCTTCACATGTTCTTCCAAGCGGATGCGCTGCGGCGTCTTTTCCTCACTACCGGGATAGACATAGTTGGCGATTGGAGCCTATGGATACGTGAGTATAGCACTGAACAAACGGAGTCGACTGCATTTACCTGAGCATAGATTTTGGCTGCGATCTCGGCTTGCCAAGTGACGTCTTCTTCCTCGCGGTGGTACCAACATTCTTCATTCAGTGAGTCAATCTCTTTAGATATGACCTTCGTCTCTGATCCGCTATTCTTCAGATGTCTGTAGGTCGGCAAGATGACCTCCAGAAAATTAAGCGTGATACGCTCCTCATCAAGATCTTTCGCGTCCCATCGACTGAATGGTGTGACCATGACTAAAGTGACTTTTGGGCTTTTGGCAAACGAAATGTGCCGAATGAAATCAATATCGCGGCGGAACTTGTTGTATACACCGTGTTCCCTCCAGACGAAATCCGGGGGTGGTACCTGGGGCTCTTCATCATATGTACGCACGTTCCAACCAGCTTCTTCGAGGAAGTCCTCGAATCGTACATACACGACGATGTTCCGGACATAATCTCTGGGAATGGATCCGCACGGGAAAGGCGTGTTGATGAATTCGCTCATATGTCGTGCATCGCGGAGGTGGAATACGTTCGTCTTGAAGAAGGTCTCGGTGATTTCCAGAGCCATCTGAGAACCGCATAGCTTGGGGTCAAATATGAAAACAGCTCTCAGAGCTGCCAGCCGTTCTTTCACAATCTCTTCTTTCTCGACCAGAGTGAGTTGGGGAGGCCAACAGTCCTCTTCAAAGAATACCAAATTCACTACATCTCCTGTATCGTGCTCATGGAAGAATTCGTGGTCAAGATTTGGTATGTGAATACCATCGTCCTCGTGGCATAGGAACTCGTAGATCATGAGACGCAATTCTGCAGCGCCTCCCAGAGCATTCTCGAGGTTCGTAGCAATTTGCCTGACATCATCGGTTGCGTTTCTCAAAATCCGAGCGTCTGAATCGCTGTGTATAGTCAGTAACTCGTTGTTCCTCGATCTGTAAAGCTTACCTGTTGAGCCGCTTCCTCTTAGCCCCTAGGTCGTCCAGTACATCATCTTTGCAGTCGTCGATCAATCCTCTCTTGAGTGAGCTCGTCATTGCACCTGCGCGATGATCGTTCCTTGAAAGTAATAAGAGAAGACGGTATTCACGACTATGTAAGTGTCTACAACTGGGATTGATAAATTGTAAAGGATGAAGATCGAGATAAGTCGCGGAGACGTGTCTTGGTTTCAGGGCAGCCTGGGTCAAGTCCAGGCCACAGTCTAAGACAAAGGCGCACCGTAATTCTTCGTTGGGTTTCAGGGCACAAAGAAACTTGTGCTGGCCCCCAAGGCTATTTGCGCCGGAAGCAGGGTCCAATAGCGAGAGGCGGCAGTCTGAGAGCATCTGGGTAGCTGCCCAGCCATCGTCGCGTGTACCGTAGAATCGTAGCGACTATTACAGCTACAACAAAGTAGTGCAGACTTCGGTTGTTGAAATGACGTCGCATGCATAATATTCTGTGCCTAACATAAGGTTAGATTACATAGGTAGGTAGGCTTCTCCCGGGCCAACAAGCCTGGAATTTACTTGTCGTTCCTGTGATGACTATGAAGATCACGGTAAACACCGACATGATTGCGCAAAGTGCTACTGTACTGGCCTAAGCAATTTCTCGAATGCATATCGCCCAAGTCATCATAGACGTAGAGATGCGTGAAGAGAACCGTCTAGAGAGCGGTGCCGACCGTTCCAGCCTTTTTGTTGAGATGCCGACGTTCTTTGTCCATGTCGCCAGGCGCTGTGTTTCTCCATATCGCGACTCTTCTCTGCAGTTCATCTTCTCCCTCCCTTAACCGCTGGTCATGAAGCTCATGAGAGCGAGCTAGTAACGTAGCATAGTGGGGTGGTGCTGGTTCCTTGGGATAAGCGTAGCGGGGATACTCCCGCGCATTCCATCTCTGCTCAACGTCAGTATAGTAGCAAGAAGTCCAACCAACAATCCAACGTACTTCTTTATACTTTTGCTCTTCTAGTTCATACAGCCATGTGATCTCAAAGTCTAGCGCGGAGGCCGTCGATGCATGCTCTTCCTCGGCGTCGTCGGCTTCTATCGTGCTGACTGTCACTGTCGCACCAGTACTCTTGAGGACATGATAGGATTCCAGTGTCGCTTCGATGAAGTTGAACAAGACCCGCTCTTCCTCGACACCTTCGGCACCGAAGCGGCCAAACGGAGTCACTATTACCATGGTGATGTGTGGTCGCGAAGGGAAAGGGATCCGCGAAAAGGCTTTGGCCACGCGAGATACCTCATCATAGACGTTGTTCTGACGCTCTTCCCATTCAAAATCTTCGTCAGTTTCTTCCGGTCCGCCATCTCCATAATCCCCTTCGCCCCAGCCCGCCCATCCCAGGAACTCTTCACAGCGGATGTAGACGCGGAGGTGCTTGATCTTGTCGCAAGCCCGAATACCACAAGGAAACCTTCCTTTGAGAAACATTCTGATATTGGCTGCCGCATCGCGGAAATGGAATTCGTTTTCTTCGAGGTACTGCGAGGTATTCTGGCGTGCTTGCTCCTCCCCAACTTTGCGCGGATCGAATCGAGATTCGTTCCATATTCGTTGCGCATCTTCCTCAATCTTCTTATCTACATCTTCTTTCACAATATCTTCACCGTCGAATTTAGCCAAGGCGGCCGACCCCTGCACATATTCATGGAAGTTTTCATGCTCGAGGTTAGGGATGAGTACCGGATGAAGAAAAAGAGACCACCTTCTCGAAGAAGTCGATTCTTCTGCCATGATATCGGTGAATGTACCCTGAAGAAGCGAGAGAAGGGGGTTAAGGAGTGCTTGCTGGGTCGATACCTGTTCGCGTAGTTTCGGGTCTGAGCTTCTGGCCTACGTCATTGACGCAAGTGGGGTGGCTACCTAGGTAGCTTCCTCCCCATCCCATCATCCCACCAACAACGCGTCGAGCCCACACAAGCCCGAAATCGCAGCGATCATCGCAGCAGCCATTGCAGTTACAGTACAGCTACAACCAAGGATTGTAACTCGAACTTTGATGGTTGGGATTTAAATCGCATTCAGGTAATACAAAGGAACCCGCCTCAACCATTCGACCACTACTTCGAATTGTATCTCGGATGATGGCCGAAAGTCCTTAGAACCTAGGCTACGCTATAGTATACCAGCTCCGAGAAGATTGAAATCTGCCACCGTAAGTCGCAAGTACGCCTAGCTGTTGGTCAAGTCATCGCCTTAGCTCGCATCAAAAGCCGATAAATGGTATGGGCTACAGGTACGCCTTCCCGATGATAACCCTGCCTCCATCCTCATCATATCTATCAACAAAGCGCAGTTCCAAACGCTGGTCATCTGTCTCTCGGATCTTGACGACATTTCTCCAGGTCTCGGATTGTTCCACACCTGCGCTCGTGCCGTCGAGTTTCTCGCTCGGCGTCGAATTCATCGCTAATGCCATAAGCTCCGCTACATCTTCCCAGCACTCGCCGCCATAGTACTTTCGCCTGGCAACCGCACAGCCTAGAACTACTCCATGTACAAGGACTGTCAGTGTGAAGACAAGCAAGACGATCATCGCTACCCAACCGGCTGTGTTTCGGAGCCCATATCCATACCCGTATGAGTCGAGCTTGATGCGCACTGAGTAGAAATCCGGGACAGGGCGCCATTTAAAAAGATTTTGAGGGCTTTCCAGCACTGTCACTACGTCGTCATCGGCTGTAGTGTTGGTCTTGAGAAAGGAGAACACATCGGATGAACCTCGCGCTATACCGTCTGCAAGTACGCCGCCTAATAGCATGGCTATAGTCTCCTCGATTCCGCCATTCTTATCGTCAGAAGACGTGACATTGGGCGCAACAAAATCTGGTGCGTCGCTGCCATCTATTTCCCGATGATCAATGGCTGTTTGCAGGATCCCGGCCATGCTTGTCATGTTGGAGGAGGAATTGTCCGCCAACAGCTCAGTTTGATACCCGTTGAAGAAGGCAGCCCAGTCGGGCTTCAGATCGAGCGGTTTGTCTGAGAACATGTAGCCAGGAAGGATCCATTCACCATATGGAGACTCGGTTTCAAGGAGTACGTCGGAGACATTGCTGGACACCGTACTCGAATTCGTGGGCTGATGATACGCATCGCTGGCCGCCCAGCGTGCATCGGCGGAGCAGGCTACGATGGCCGAGGTCCAATATCTATCTGTAGAGCCGCGAGCTACAACGGGTACGATCGCTAACGCAAGCAGTGATGACGAAGCGTTGACTTTATCGTCATTGTACCACGAGAATCGGGCCTCTTTATCCGGTAGCCCGTCGAAGATCTCGTTGTCAGTGTCTAGATACGAAGTGGATGCTTGGGGATACCAAGAGTCCTGCACCCATGCTCCTTCAACGCTAGGAAAGGAGACATTCTCTCGGTTCGAGGCTTGGCTCCAAAGAGACATACTACATCTCACAAAGATGATGGGCTGGTGGAGTGGGGTGTCTGCTGCGATACGTAATCGAGGGTATGCGACGTCGCTAGTGCCACCAGCGTTTATGCGCCTTGCGTAACTATAAAAGCTGCCGAGTGTTCTTGAGGCCAGCTCTGTAACGACGGTAGCGTATATAGAGGTGCCTAGACTGTCATGATCGATCTTGATGGCAACCTTCCGCTGAACGCTGCTCCAAAGATCTGTAAAGAGCAGGCCACCACGCGATCCACTATGAATTAGACTGGTGAACTAAACGGTATCAGCTTTCTGCACATTGTATTGAAGAAAGTTGTTCTTGCGTACCCATATCAAAATATCGGAGAACCCTCCTGTTGGACATTGTAGGTTCAATGGGTTGAAGGGCTCGAGCATGCAATCGGAAGCCTCAGTCGCATTCATGTTCATCGTTTGTGTGAAAACTGTTGGCCAAAGATCGCCTGCCGTGGCGTTGTAGAGAACAGTCGAGCTATCAGCCCAAAATGCGCTCTTCATCTCGTACCACCCAAGCGAAGGAATCATGGTGATGGCGGAAGATGGTCCTAGAGTAAAGGATAAGATACAGGCGAGAAATAGCAAGCCTCCGAATGGCATATTGCGCCCCCAGCCTATCCAAAATGACTGTTTGAACAGCATTCCAGGCGAACTTGTGAGGTGAGGTGCGCTGACAAGTCCGAAGGGAATACCTTGACGTCCAACCAGCAGTTTTCGCATGTAATAGAAGATAACGAAGGACAACGATGCTAGCATCAGCAACTCGTGGACCTTGGCGGCGAACTGCCATGCCTTGAGCTCCATGTTTTGCCGCCGCTGCTTCTTGACCTCGAAGTCCCTCCAAAAGGTCTCACTGACGTGCACCCATAGAAGAGCGCCGATGATGGTGAGCGACGCAGCGTGAACCGTAAATTCGAGCCAGGGAAATCCGCGTTTCAGGGCGATTTTGGCTTTTTCGATGGGTTGGTATCTGCGCCCGTTGATTAGTTGCGTAGATTCCACGGCGCTTCTGTGAACGTTCGTGCCATCTTTGGAGGCGGACAATGGCTGGTCGATCAACATCTTGGTGTCTTCTGCCGTTTTCTCGGTAGGCTGTGAAAAGATGAGAAATGGGAAAAGACGTCGGGGCACAGGGAAATACTATATTTAACAAGGCTGAAGACGCGGGCTGTCTGCGCTGACGATAACACTTCGATGAAAACCCAGTCAAGAGGTAGCTGAGAAAGCCACATAAAAGCCACGCGTGATTCAATAGGTTGGTTATTGTTGTAGATACACATGAGATGCGGGGGGGGGCCGAATGCTCTGCATGGTAAAGGTTGCGGGCAACAAGGCTGAGGAGCTGATGGCTGCAACCTTCCACATTAAAGTCATATTTAGCTTACGCGATGTAAGCATACGAATAAAGGCTGAACGGAGAAAAGTTCTAGATGTTTAGCTCGATAATAACAAGAAAAGTAAGAAGTGAATGGTCTCTCAGTCTCTTGGATGCTGTGTACCGAGAGAGGACTCGTGGGCCCGAACAGCGAGAGATGGTTGCGTAACACTCGCCTATAACAGCCCATTTTAGGCGTAACCTATTCGCATGTTGCGACTCGCGAAGGTAGAAACAGCTTATAGCCTCTAGAAGTGCCGAGCGGAGAAATATCATGATGTGGTCCAGATCGGCAGCGTTGAACTGCTGCAGCTTCAAAAGAAGCCCAGTCAAGCCGAATCAAACGGATCTCTGTTGTTACGTCGACAGCACATAGTCTGCTAATGTCCAGGGCAGAAGTAGAGGATTGTTATGCTGTTTCTTATCGTGAGCTGTGTGGTTGGGTGTTCAACAGGCTTCTCCATGTGTCAATTCCTTAAGGCGTCAGATTGCCAATTTTGCAGATGAATAGGACGAAGACCCCGCACTACCGTAGCGTGCCAAAGTTGGATTCCATTCATGTAAGAGTTTCGTTAAGATTGTCCAGGTGGTGTTTGTGTAGATGATTCCAAGGAAAGAGCCCTGGAGGGCGAGGAAATGGATCTAGTCCCAAACGAGAATGGTGCCGTTCGGGGGAATGACGCGAGGCCGAGCCTCATCCATGTTCCCCAACGCGAACATCGGCGCATCCACTCGACGCGACGTAGCAGTGCATCCGCTGAGCACGTGCTAATTAGCTCATGCTCATGGAGACAGTATGAATGAGGAGGACGACTACGAGAATGGCGCCAGTAAATATCCCCCCGACGCTCGGAGGAGCTGCCAGCTGACCGCGCGCAACAGGCTCCGCCGAGGAGGAAGATGAGCAGGAGGAGAATGATGCCATGGACGTAGACGAGGAAGAAGAGGGCGATGACGCAGACGACGGCGATAATGACGACGACGATGCAGAAGGCGACAACGATAACGACGATGAAGACCAGGACCAAGATCAGGACCAGGACGAGCCCGACAGCCCTTCGCAGCGACCGCGCAACAGCATATCCAATGGCGGTGCGGCTGGACAAGCAGACGGCAATCCATCTGTCACCCTCACATCACCCAGTCCTCGTGCAGCGGCTTCGGGCGTGCTTGGAAACCTGCCCTTCCACCCCAGCGTGCGACAGGAGGCCTTGAATGCGCCTATATACGACATCATACCCACCATCGCCGCACCACATAGCACTTCAATCAATGCCATTACCGCCACACCGGACATGCGATGGGTCTTCAGCGGTGGTGCAGACGGCTATATACGAAAGTTCAATTGGGTGGACACGGCCAACGGGAAGCTCGCCCTGACCGTGGCCCAGCGACACCCTTTCGTTGACTCGGTCACCAAGGCGGGCGTGCTGCTCTCATACTGGGAGAATGAGGACAATGCCGCAGCCGAGAGCTTGTCCCCTGTGTACTCGCTCGCAGTACACCACCAAGCCCTATGGCTGTTGTCGGGTCTGGACTCGGGAGGCATAAACCTGCAGTCGGTGCGCCATCAAGAAGGAACGCGGATACACACACTCAAGAACCACACCTCAGCCGTGTCGGTCCTGACACTGTCGCAGGACGAGACGTCGGTATTGAGCGGTAGTTGGGACAAGACTATCAACGACTGGGACTTGAACACTGGAAGCGTTAAGAGGAAGTTCGAGACGAGCGGAGGACAGATATCCGCAATCGAGCAACGTCCCATGTCTACCTTACCTATACCTCAGGATACCGAAACCGTTCCTACCTCGAACGGCACCTTCTCCTCCAACAACTCCGCCCGACCTCGAACCAACGGCGCCCTCGCGAACGGCGCCGATATAAAGCCCGTGGTACCCAAGGAAGAAGGTACTGAGGATGCTCAGGGATCTCCAGACGACTCGCTGTTTGGAGACAAGGACCAGGACTCTTTGTTCGGCGACGGCCAGGAAAACAACCTCTCGGCCACTCTTCCTTCGTTCGGTGGTGACGACGACGAGGACGAGTTCTCCAGAGCCATCGCGAACGGCATACAACAAGCAGACGACGACGCCAATGCTGACATGGACATGATGGACATGGGCGGTCCTGTACAAGCACCCGAGGAGCCAGCTGCGGAACAAGCGAAGGAACCCCCAGTAGATGCTGAGAACCAACCAGCAGCGAATGGAACTACAGATGCGCAGCTCAATGGCACTTCCAACGGCCTGCCCCACGCAGAGGATCTCGAACAGTCTATGGCTACTTCCGCAAACCAGACTGAGCAGCCTGCTTCATCTGAAACGACCTTTATGGACGCGTCAATGGACGGCACATTGCGTATCTGGGACCGCCGGCAACCGAACCCAGTCGCACGCATCACACCCCCGCGAAACACACCACCGTGGTGCATGAACGCATGCTGGTCACCAGACGGCAACTTCATCTACGCTGGCCGGCGAAACGGAACAGTGGACGAATACAGTCTACACAAGAGCCTACGAGAGCCGCGACGCACATTCCGATTCCCCAGCGTCAGTGGTGCAGTGAGCGCAGTTCGGGCTATGCCCAATGGGCGACATCTCATTTGGTAAGCTCACCTCCCCCTCGCACGCGCACACATAGATACGTGCCGTGACGTGACGTGAGACAAGCACTAACATGTACCAGCGCATCATACGACATCCTCCGTCTCTACGACCTCGCCCACAACGACGCGGGACCGAAAGCCGGCGCCGCCGCTACACCCTTCTTTATTGTCCCCGGACACCGCACCGGCGTCATATCGCAACTATACCTCGACCCGACGTGCAACTTCATGATCTCAACGGGCGGGAATCGGGGCTGGGAGGGAGCATCAACAGAGGTGATGCTTGGATATGAGATTGGCATCGGATCTTAGCATGTACTATACCCATTGATCGCGGCGTTTGGAACGGCGTTTCTTGAACGAGGGGGTCTGCGTGCGCTTTTGTGATTGGGTACGAAGAGCAAAGAATAAAGAGACAAGAGTTTTAACGCGACGATCGTGAGTGCAACGCGTGTGCCAGGTGACGTAGCTGGGGTAAATGGGCATGGGGATACGCAAGTGCTGACTCCGAGATGTTACGACGAAGCGTTTAGGACGAAGCTTATCCTTCTTTTCTTTTTCCTTCTCTCCTCTGGTTGTTGCAGCCCTCACGTTTGTTCTGCCATTGCAGCTGATTGACTACTTGCAGGCTCGGCATTCCCGCACCATGTCGATGGTGTCACGCGGAACACGCGTCCACCATAATTTTTTTCCGTGTGGGAGGAGCGGGGTAATTTTGATGAAGTCTTTCTCAGAAGCGCTTACTATCGCATTGACCCGCGGAGAGGAGTATACCCAAACATAGACGGTAAAGGAAGTGACGTAGTCGGTGAGAGCCTCGTTGTACCTAGGACATGCATTGGGCGCGAGGATAGGGGCAGACAGTACGCGCGCGCATCTCAACTAGATTTTGGATCGAGAGGGGCGATTAGTCGGATCAGAGTCCGTGGTGTTGCAGAATTCGAAGAGACGGCGGGGCTCATCTCAACCATGCACCCCACAGACAGGATCCCTGGCACCGGCGTCGGCATCCAGTCAAGGCGACTGGAAATCTGTCAGCGCTGGTACAAATGCCGGCATTCAACACTATGTAAGTCGCTATCGGCACGGTGTGTCGGGCTTTGGTGCAGGAACACCAGCGGTGAGCGCCTCGTATGTACGAACGGAGACGGAATCGAAACGAGGCAGGCGGTCCAATGATCATCTCGTTCGAACTTTTCGTCGCCTCGCCGAAACTCGAGCCCGTAACTGTAGGCGCGCGTCATAAAAAGTCCGAGGTGGACCGATGCTGGTCCGATGTTTGTTTCAAGAAACCTGGAACAAAAGCGTCCGAGTTGTTGTAGACCCACAG